TGTACAATGAAGTCGATTAATAGTATTTACAGAATATTCTACTCTATATTTTATTTGTGTGAGACTTATCTACTGTTTAGCACAATCACTCAATTAACAGAAATGACAAAACTATTACTCATATACTTATTCACAATTATTAATAGAAATCTTATAAGTTATTAAAGAATTTCTGATCAATTATTTATGGAATTAATAAATTTAATGACACGTTATTACAAATAATTAATAATATTATCACAAAACAGTGTTCAACACTTACTTTTCTCGATTAAACAACGTTTGCTATAATAATTAAGACTATGTTTAGTAGAGTATACAATGATATATAATAATACTTTTGTTGATTGTATAAATTTAATACTCTAGAAGTTACTCGACTGTAAGCACTTCATCCTTAATGATTAGCAAATAATTTTATGTTTAATCTCTAATATCTGGGATGATTTAACGAAGTGAGTCTTTCAACTCTTCTTTCAATATGACAGTACAGTACTGTTTAGCACTATTACACCCATTTGAAAGAAGAGTTGAAAGACTCATATCGTTATATCATCCCAGATTTATTAATTGCTTGAAAGCAATCCAACGAGTTGCTTGATTGATTATTTTATTGATTTCTATTATAATTTAAATTATATCTACATGTATATTAAGGGATAACTTATAGCTCACATATAATATTAATAAGTTATTGTAAAAATATTTGTCTGATTTTGGATACAGATACTTATACAGTACTGTACTCAATTGTCTATGTTATTCATCCGATTGATTAGTTATACAGAGATCTTTAATAAGTAAAATTAAGTGATTGTGTAATTGATAATGACTTTAATTTACAGATCATAACCGAATGCATGCGGCGGATGTACTTCAAGGGGTCTATTATCTCACATCCCAACCAATCCCAGGCTTCGCACAAATACCGGCCGATTCCACAGATTCTCCATTACATAAGACATCGATCGGCCCTTTGCCTCAAAGTTATGTCAAACACATAACCGTTTGTGAGGAGACTTACGGCATAATAGGCGCTAATTATCCAGCATTAGAACTCATGGCTCTCTACACGGCGGCGGCAATGCATGACTTCGATCACCCCGGGAGGACCAATGCCTTTCTCGTTGCCACTTATGCTTCTCAGGTAATAATATTCAAGTGATTGTGTGCTAAATATAAACGATAGTAACTTTTATTGAATATATTTTATATTGCATTTTAGGCCATTTTATATAACGATAGGTCGGTGCTGGAGAACCATCACGCGGCCGCTGCCTGGAGTCTCTTCCTATCAAAACCAGAATATAATTGGTTGAGACATCTCGATAGGGCTGAGTTCAAGCGATTCCGGTTTTTAGTCATTGAATTCATTTTGGCAACTGATCTAAAAAGACATTTCGAAATTTTAGCCGAATTTAATGCCAAAGTAATAATATTTGAGTTGATAAATAAATAATTATTGATATGATATGAATATATAATTTGTGATTTGATTTGATAGGTCAATGATGATGACTCTACTGGGATCGACTGGTTTTCAGAAACCGATAGACTTTTAGTTATGGAAATGACTATAAAGATAGCTGACA